GGAGTTCAAGGACATCCTTTGTTACATAGCGAATAAAAGGTTAGTCTGTGGTAGAGGAGACTGTGTTCGTAAATATGTAAATGAATAAGCAAACAAACACAAATATAGACCACTGTCTCAAAAATAAATACATGAATAAAAAACCCCTTCATTAAAAAGGAAAAAAAAGAATTACAAGGGTAGAAAGGAAGGGCTGTGACGTGGCTCCATCTCAGCTGCCATACCCCTACTGTGCCTCTGAAGACACCTGCTGTTGGCACTGGGCAAGGTTTGCTCTTCACACTTAAAGAGAACTCTCATCAGCTAGTTGCTATTCTTTCTGTGGGACCATTTCTGGGATTCAGGTATGAACTCCAGTGGATCTGGAGGCTCCCTTAAGCATGGAGTACTCGACTCTCTACATGTAAAAGCAAACTAAGGGACAAAGAGATGTGGGCACCTTGCCAGAGCCCAAGTATCCCCAAAGCCCATGCTCCACATTCTTCCATCAGATCCTCTTCCTGAGAATTTGTTTTAATTAACTAAAATCTTGGCCAGCTGTGAACTCTGTGGGCCATATAAACAACCATCCTGGCAAGACATGCTCACTGGTACAACAGTGTCACTGCCACGAGAGTTAATGCCTGCCTTGCAAAAACCTAGCACCGTTATCAGTACAGTCAAGAGATGAGGAAGCTTCACCCCTGTTGGCTAACTTTTATAGTACCGAAAGGTGCTAATCATGATTCTGAGGAGAGATTAGACAACAGTCTTACAAGCTGTGAATTCTATGAGCTACAATAACTGGCCTGATAACACATATCCGTTGGTGCAATAGTAGCATGAATATCATAGGAGTATTCAGCCACTTTCATATCGGATTTAAGTCCCACTTTACAAGATGAAACTCATACTGATAAGCACCATTACCAGGCCAAGAACCTGTGTCTATACAAGCAATAGGCCCTCACAGAGAATGTACTACTATTATTCCGCTAAGTGGACATAATATTAAACCAACTCATAACGACTTAGCACTATATCTATAGATTATTGCATCTATAAACCCTCATCAGAGAAGTTTCTTTCTGCAGTTGCTGGTGACCAGCACATAGACTTATAACTGGTCAATGTTCACAGGATAAGAGTCTCTGGGGAACTCAGCCCTAAATGGAACATCCAAATTACACACCTCCTCCCAAGGCTCGAGGATCACTATAGAAGAGGGGACAGGAAGGTTCTAAGAGTGATAGGCAGTGGATGGTTAGATGGAAAGAGTGTTTTCCAGACACAACAGGGCAGTTTCACATCTGAGCCCACAGCAGTTGTGACGGAATGCATAAGACCTGTGCAAACCCCAAACAGAAAAAAAAAAATCTCTGCATGGAATGGGGAGGTGTACAAAATCCCACCCCTAGCTCAGGAGCTATTGGCAATCCATAGCTTCTGAAAAGAGTTAGTTCTCTTTAAGGATGTGACCTCAGGCAAGTTGACCATGCTCCATTGGGTGACTGCACACCCAAGAGTAGATAGACTACACAATTTGCCTCAATGGGTTATTTTATTTTTTAAGAAGACACACATTTGGGAGTGGTAAATCTGGGAAGAGGTAGGGAGAGAATTGGGGATGAATATGATGAAGTGAAGATACACTATGTGAAATACACAAAGAGGAAAATTACGTTTAAAGATAATATATTGTCAAACACTTCTATTCTTATGTTTGTTGTTCATGTTAGATAATTTGTCATAACAATGAAAAAATTAGGTGTAAAAGGAGCTTTTATTCACCTGTTTCAGTTGTTGTTTCAGAGGATTATTGCTTCTGTCTGCTATTCTAGGCCTAGACCTAGAAGCTTCTAGCCTCTGTGCACTCTAACGTAGGCCTAGAATGTTTTCAGACTCTGAGACTTACCACTTGAAAAGCTCACCCTTTATGGTGTGAACCTAACCAAGCAAGTCAAAGACTTGTATGAAAAAAAATTTCAAGTCTCTGAAGAAAGAATTAAAGAATATATCAGAAGATGGAAAGATCTCCCATGCTCATGGCTTGGCAGGATTAATATAGTAAAAATGGCCATCTTACCAAAAGAAATCTACAGATTCAATGAAACCCATCAAATTATCAACACAATTTTTTACAGACCTTGAAAGAAAAATTCTCACCTTCATATGGAACAACAAGAAACCCAGAATTGCTAAAACAATTGTCTACAGTAAAAGATCTTCAGGAGGTATCTCCATCCCTGATCTCAAGCTGTACTATAGAGCAACAATAGTAAAACTGCATGGTACTGGCATAGAAACAGACTGGTGGATCAATGGAATCGAATAGAAGACCCTGACATAAATCCACATACTTATGGACACCTGATTTTTGACAAAGATGCCAAAACCATTCAATGGAAAAAAAGACAGCATCTTCAACAAATGGTGCTGGTCTAACTGGATGTCTACATGTAGAAAAATGCAAATAGATCCATACTTATCACCCTGCATGAAACTAAAGTCCAAGTGGATCAAAGACCTCAACATAAAACCAGACACACTAAACTGCTTAGAAGAAAAAGTGGGGAAGAACCTTGAACTCACTGGCACAGGAGACAACTTCCTGAACAGAACACCAACAGCATGGGCTCTAAGAGCAACAATCAATAAATGGGACCTCGTGAAACTGAAAAGCTTCTGTAAAGCAAAGCACGCTGTCCTCAGAACAAAATGACAGCCTACAGATTGGGAAAGGATCTTCACCAACCTTATATCTGACAGAGGACTAATATCCAGTATATATATAAAAAAACTTAAACAGCTAAAAAAAAATATATCAAGTAATCCAATTAAAAAATGGAGTACAGAGCTAAACAGAGAATTCTCAATAGAGGAATATCGAATGGCAGAGAAACACTTAAAGAAATGCTCAGCCTCATTAGCCATCAGGGAAATGCAAATCAAAATGACCCTAAGATTTCACCTTACACCCATCAAAATGGCTAAGATCAAAAATTCAAGAGACAACACGTGCTGGAGAGGTTGTGGAGAAAGGGGAATTCTCCTCCACTGCTGGTGGGAATGTAAACTTGTACAACCACTCTGGAAACAATCTGGCGCTTTCTCAGACAACTAGGAATAGTGCTTCCTCAAGATTCAGCTGTCTCAAGTACCCAATAAGGACATTTGCTCAACCACATTTGTAGCAGCCTTATTTGTAATAGCCAGAAGCTGGAAACAGCCCAGATGCCCCTCAGGGGAGGAATGGATGCACAAATTGTGGTATATCTACACAATGGAATATTACTCAGCAATAAAAAACAAGGAAATCATGAAATTTGCAGGTAAATGGTGGGATCTGGAAAAGATCATCCTGAGTGAGCTATCCCAGAAGCAGAAAGATGCACAGGGTATATACTCACTCATATAGACATATAATATAGGATAAACCTACTAAAATCTGTACACCTAAAGAAACTAATCAAGAGGGAGGACTCTTGCTAAAATGCTCAATTCCTATCTAGAAAGGCAAAGAGGATGGACATCAGAAGAAGGAGAAAAGAAGGAACAAGTCAGGAGCCTGACACAGAGGACCTCTGAAAGGCTCTGCCCTGCAGACTATCAATGCAGATGCTGAGACTTATGGGCAATCTTTGGGCAGAGTGCAGGGAATCTTAGGAAAGAAGTGGGAAACAGTAAGATCTGGAGAGGACAGGAACTCCACAAGGAGAGCAACAGAACCAAAAAATCTGAGCACAGGGGTCTTTCCTGAGACTGATACTCCAACCAAGGACTATGCATGGAGATAACCTAAGACCCCTGCACAGATGTAGCCCATGGCAGTTCAGTATCCAAGTGGGTTCCATTGTAATAGGAACAGGGACTGTCTCTGACATGAACTGATTGGCCTGCTCTTTAATTACACCCCCCCCCCGAGGGGGAAGAAGCATTACCAGGCCACAAAAGAAGACAATGCAGCCACTCCTGATGAGACCTAATTGACTAGGGTCAGAAGGAAGGAAAAGAAGACCTCCCCTATCAGTGGACTTGGGGAGGGGCCTGTATGCAGAGGGTGGAGAATGGGAGGGATTGGGATGGGAAGAGGGAGGGAACCACAGGAGGGATACAAAGTGAATAAAGTGTAATTAATAAAGATTTTTTTTTTTTTTTTTAAAAAAAAGCTCACCCTTACTTGTTCTTACTGAACTCTGGGCTGGCTGGTTCAACTCAGCTGCTCTAGCTCAAACTCCTCTCTCAGATGATTTATTCAGAATGGCTTCTCTCTCTCTCAGCCCCTGAATTGCTCTGCTTGGCCTCAAACTAATTCCAGCAATCTGCTCTAATCTCCTGGCTCCTTCTCATTATCTGGCTCATTTCGTCTTTACCTGAGTTCTCTCTCTGCAACCTGTCTCTCTATTACTACTGTCCTGTAAAACTGCTTCCTCTCTCTCTGCATTGCTTCTTTAGTAGCATCCCTTTCCTCCCCCCCTGAGAGTTGAGTGTATCCTATTCTGTCAACTCTTTCTCTGATTCATCCCTCTTTCTGCTACTCAATTACACACCACTTTCAAACATGGATGTTTCCTCCTACAAATTAACTTTCTCTTCATTGTTTGGAATTAAACATGTATTCTACCACGCCTGGACCTAAGCTTTTCTTTACATGAAACTTGCTCTATACCAGGCTGGCCTTGAACTCAGATCTGCTTACCTCTGTGGCCTGGATTATAGGTATGTTTGCATTCTGGCCAGACCACACAGACCTAGAAGGTCCTTGGATGTGATCTCTTGTCAGAATAGCCATGTTCTGAATTAAAATTCCTCTACAACTAAGTAATATGAAAAACAGAGTATTTCTGCAGACTTGCTATTACAACACACACGTATACACACGCTACTACTACATATTGTATGTGATTAGTCTCATCTTATGATAAGCAACTTTTCCCTTGTCCTAGACGTGGCCCCCACATCCAGAGTCCTGTACTGTAAACCCCCGTGCCTGCAAGTACACCAGAGGTAGCCGCTCCTACCTTTCACATCTTTTCGTAGCTCTGTTTTGCTGAGAAAGGGTCCTTCCTCTGCAGCCTCGTTTTCTCCCGCCTCTTTATTTTTGCTCCCAGCACTATGGTTGTGCTCCGTGTCCTGCAGCATTTGACCTTGGGGTAAGTGGTGGCCTTCTGGAAGGTCTTCATGCTTTTTATTCTCCTTTTTCCTCTCCTGAGGAACCCTAAACGTGGAGAAAAATACGAGAATGAACCAGTGACCTATAAATGATTCATCCAGTGTGTGGTCAAGTGAGGAAGAGATTAAACTGGGAGCCCTAACTTCATGAAAAGTTATTCAGTGTGGATGGAAACATCTCCAAACATGGCTTCTTAGTGACTCCAAAGCACCCATCACCTCACTCAGCAAGTGTCCTACCATTTTTTCTGATCCAAGTCTGCTCACATCTCCATCCTCTGTTACTCCTAGTGATGTTTCAGACTCCCGAGCCTTGTGTGACTTGGCTCAGGTTTCTTGCTCTGTCCAGAATGCAGCAATCTCCTTCCTTCTGCCCACTGTATTCCTGTTTTCAGTCTCCTGGGAATACCTGGGGTACTTCCTTTGTATACTGTCCATGACTCCTCCCATTCCTGTCTCTGTCTCTTCTCTGGGCATCAATGCCTTGTGAGCAAATTCACTTTCATAACAACCAGCCACACTTAATGCTCAGGTCAGGTGTCTACTCTTTTATGAGATTGTAGGTTCCCTGAGGTTCTGCTTCTGCCTACTTTGAGCACAGGTATTTCTTTGTCATGGAGAGCTGTACTTGGCATGAGGTAGACAAATTATTTGATGAGCAGATGGGATCATACTGGGGGAGGGTAGAGAGAAACAAAATAAGTGATCCAAAATATTAACTCCAGGAGAGAGAGAGTTGAGGTATGCGTGTGTGTGTGTGTGTGTGAGAGAGAGAGAGAGAGAGAGAGAGAGAGAGAGAGAGCGAGACAGAGACAGACAGACAGAGAGAAAAAGAGAACTAAATTTAGGATTTAGAGTATTCTAGGCAAGTTTTCTACCCGAGAGCCTCACACTCACTATATATGTGAGGATAACCTCGAGCCTTCAGTCTTCCTGACTTTACCTCCTAAGTGCTAGGATTATTATGTATGTGATTCCATGTCCATTACTGTGGTACTCGGCACTGAACCCAGGCTTATCTTGTTTGCTAGGCAAGCATTCTACTAAGAGGGCCAATTCCCAACCCCAACCAGCATTTTTAATCGCTATTTTCATTTTCGATAGTGGGGTTTTGCTAACTTATCCAGGCAATTGAACTTGGAATCATCTTCCTTTAGTCCCCTGAGTAGCTGAGATTACAGGCCTGAACCACCCGGCATGGCTCGCATTATGCTTTCTTGATCAGCCCCAAATCCACGGTCATGACCAGAAAAATCAAAGGAACGCATTTCTATCTGAGAAGACTGTGTCTGGGATTGGTGGAGGGTGCCCTGGGGTTGAATCAGAGTGTTTTAGCACTGGAAAATGGTGTCTTGGGGTTGGATAGGCTCTTCTAGGAGTGGGTCAAGGTGTTCTGGGATTGACTCAGACTGTCTTGGGATTGGTCAAGGATGTCTGGGGGTGGGGCTAGGCTTGCCCAGGATTAGAGTTTTATAGGATTGAGTCAGGGTGTTCCATAATTGGGCTAAGGCTCAGAAGTTTTCTTTGATGTTTTGAGGTTAGTCCATCTGCAGGAATACTAAATGATAATATATTTCTTGGATTTAATTATTTGCTTTTCTGCCCAACCAAGGAAACTAAATTTGAACACCATCATCCTGGATGTGGTCAACAGGATTTAGAAATAACAGACTTCTGGATAGTCCCTTCTGTCCACATCTGTCTCTGAACTATCCATGGATACTGGACAGGAATGTGACAGTTTTCTCGAGCATGAAAATGTAAAAATCTGTACCACTTTTCTTTTATGAATTTGAACTTGGTTTCTGACATTGCGGTTTGCAAAGCCTAGGTTCCCTTCTGATGTGTCTCTTGTTTCTCTCCAAAGACCCAGTTTAGGCAATCCTGTATGCACAGTGGTGGGAGGCTAGGCATTTTTTTTTTCCAAAGGAAAAACAGAATTGTTAAGCTTAGAAAAACATATGCTCTGTGCCCACTCGCTAGACTCAACATTTCTAGCAAGCTGTGACATTTGAACTGACAACCCTGAGGCCTATTTTGGCACATTAAGGAAATCTACACTCAATAAATGATCACGCATTTCTCCAGTGGCCCCTTCCGAAAGTGCTCCATGCACCTCGAGATTCTTGTTTACAAAGCTACAGTGAAGCATTGGCAATCTACCTTATTAGGCACATATGCAAATGTATCTGAACCCACAGGACTCAATTAAGTCAGGCCTTGTCAAGAGAAATGGAGTCATCCAGGAGCTTCTGGGGAGCTGGGAGGCTCTTCCAGAGAGCAGCTACTGACACTTAAAAATTATGCTCATAAAATATTGATGAGAAAATAATAATTTCCAAAAAGCCCCAAAATCCAGTAACTAAGAGGTTGTGGCTAGATTTTCATCTCTCTGGAATTAAACATATTTATTACCACTCTTTCCAACGTAATCAGAAAACATTTTCTGGAATCTTAACAATAAGCTTTAAAAATTATTATTATTATAAGTTGATGTGGCTGCTTTCTTGTACATTATATGTACAAAGTAGTGATATTTCTTTATTTTTCTAATGCATGCTTTACTGAAGATGGCTCTATGCAATAACATTTATTTTACCTACTTATTTTTTTTGTAATTATCTGTTCTGTCCCCAAGATCTATGCCAGATGCTAAAAGTACAGCAGGACCAAGTTGGTAAACAAGCAAGCAAACAAACAAAAAAGCCAGGAAGGTAACTGTAGTTTATGGAAGGTGCCAGAAATCAGTACAGGAACTGCAGAGGGAGAAGCTGAAATCAGATGGTTGGAAAAGACCTTTCGGCAACAGGATTTAGAATAGAGACCCTGGAGCTCAAGGCGGCCCCCCAGATGGAAACTGGGGATTGCACAGCACACAGGGGAAACAATGTCTTTGAAGCAGAGTTTGAGAGCATTTGAGATACAGAGAGAAGCCATGTGGTCTGAGGGGCTGAGATGGGAAGTAGCATGAGATGGGGCTAAAGAGAGGCCGGAGCCAAGCACACAGGCCTTGTGGGTAACAGCTATGATCTTATATCTTATTCTGAAATCGTTGGAAACCAAGGGAAAGTGCCATGGCAGAATTTGCATTTTATGAAAATTAATCTGGTCGATCTTTGAAGAGCAGATTGAAGAGGAGAAGGATGAGACAGGAAGGAAGAGGTGGGAAGATTTGGTAGAGTGTACAGGACCAGTGTCACACGAGTTGGAGAAGGGAAGATAGATGATGGCTTTGGAGGTAGCACTGATGAAACTTCCTGATGCGTTGGACTGAGGGGTCTAGAGAAAGAAAGACTCAAGGGAGAGATGAGTGGATTTCTTTACATATGTGTGTGTTCATGTGTATGTTCTAGTGCGCAAGTCTCTGTGTATGCATGTATGTCTAGAAGCCAGAGGACAACTTCCTATGCCAGCTTCAGGAATTCTATCCAGTTCCTTTGAGACAGGGTCTCTTGCTGGCTGGTAACTTGCCAGTTCAGCTAGACTGGCTGACCAGTGAGTCCTAGGGATCCTGCTATTTTGAATGTTCCAGTATTGGAATTGTCGGCAAATGTCACTACACCCAGAATTTTTATGTGGGTTCTGGTGACCAAACTCAGACCTTCATGTTTACATGGAAAGCACTTTAACCACTGAGCCACCTCCCCAGCCCCATTGCCAGTGTTTGAAAGTGAGCAACGGGGGTTGTTGGTGTACTGGCTAGTGGGGAAGTCTTAAGAAAGAAGGATTTTCACAGGAAGGTGAGCTCAGAGCTTAGAGAAACCTGTTGCTAGTGTTATGAAGACATGAAACCTTTTGGCAACACACCATTTGAATGTAAAGTTTTGTCATTTGTTGCTGGAACTCTCAAAACAATGCTAGAAGTATTCAAAGAACAGGTCATAGAGCTTGAGACACCTAATCTGGGGCATTAGAGGTGATCCAAGGCTTGACAACATTTAGCAAATAATATAGCAGGTGTAAGTGTGTAATCACAGATTTCTTTTTCTTGCAGCTTGCCTGCTCAGATCTTGTTACTGCTTTTGAACTAAACATGCTCGAGGGCATGCAGGTACAGCAAGAGTGAAAGCTGTGCTGAAAAGGATGGACAGATCATCTAGAAAGAAAAAGAATGGTGATTCAAAAGAGAAGAAAATGAGCTGGCAAGATGTCTCAGTACATAAAGGTGCTTGCTGCTAAGTCTCAGGACTTGAGCTTGAATCCTGGGAACCATATGATGGAAGGAGAGAACAGATTCTCTCCTCCTCTTTTTCCTCCTCCTCTCTCTCTCTTTCTTTCTCTTTCTCTCCACCTCTCTCTCCCCACCAAATTAAAAAAAGTAATAAAAGGTAATAAGTAAAAAGCAGAGAGTGCTTGATATTCATAGATGACCCAATCCACATATTTAGCATTGTTCTTGGAGATTCAGGACACGTAGTTCAGATTTAAAAAAAAAAAAAAAAAAACCTACTCTTCAAAGTGAACATTTTACAAAAGGCAAAAGCTCCGAAGCCCTTCCTAGCATTCTTCATTGGAGCTGCTTCCGATTAGATTTCACAGGCCTGTTTGCTTTTCCGCCAGGCCGCCCACTTCCGAGGACTCACTGTCCTGTGCTCCACTTGCTTATCTCTGCTTCTGTTTGCTGTTCCGACAGTGTTCGCGGTGCTTCTAGGAAGCACAATAATTGGATAGTTGGTTAGCAGTTGGCAGAGCAGAATGCATAATTTTGGGGAGTAGAGAGGGCAAGACCTGGAAGAATGGATGGTTGCAAGGGGTTTCTGGTTTGTGCATTTAGAATCTCAGTGCTGTGCAGGGCTCTGCTCTCTATGATTGATATAATACACATAAGTTTGGGAGTGAGCCTGGGTTCAGTGCTTAGCTCTGCTGCTTTCTACTTTGTAACTTTAGGCTTGTGAATTCATGTCTTTGAACCCATGTTGTCATTATCAAAGTGTGGATAATTACAGATATGCAAATTGCAGGGATGTTGAGAAGGGTGGTTGTTGTGCACACAAAGCGCTTAGCACACTACTTAATTCATGCTGGGAACCACCAGGTCTATTATGT